CCTCCCCTAATTGGCCTCCACCCTCAGCATCTATTATAAGCGAATGATTTATTGATTAATCAACACACCAACTACTTTTTGGTAATTATTCAGAAAATAAATTACCAACTTAAAATTTCAAAGAATAAAAACATGCATATGTGTGTGTATGTGTGTGTGTATTTATACACACACAAGGTCCCTGGGTGGTGCAAATGGTTTGCACTTGACTAACAGTTTGTGATTCGAACCCACCCAGCGGTGCTGCAGAAAAAAGGCCTGGCAATCTGCTTCCATGAAGACTGCAGCCAAGAAAACCTTATGGAGCAGTTCTACTCTGTAATACATGGGGTTATCATGAGCCAGAATTGACTCCTCAGCAGGTAACAACAACAAAAACGCACACGCACACATTTTATAACAGTGAATAAACAAAATCGCACAGGCCCCAAATAATACGTATCCACATTTTCTTCACTTAATTATGCTTGATTTTTCCGAAAACTATTACAGGTAACTTGCTTTTCCCAATTTAGGGAAAAATTCCGAACTGTTAAGAGAACTTAACCTGTATATTGTAAATATAATGAGAATACAAACTATGTATTATTTAGTAAAATTTACTTATAACAAGATTATTTTAATGCACTCATAAGTAAAAGCTGGTTTTATTAAAATCAAATGGAAAGCGTGCAGAGAAATGATACAAAGGATGCAGGTTTTAGATTACATTAATATTTTATATTCATACATGCAAAACAGCACAAAATGAACATTCGTCCACAGGAAATTTAGGAAATAGAAACCAATTACAGGAGTCCCCTTCTAGGACACAGCAGCTAAGATTGAGAACTCTTACCCCTGACGTATAACTCCAGCCTCCTACTGTTGTTACTTGCCATTCAATCCCGCTGCCCCGTCCTGCAACATCTTCATGATCTTTGCTCTGCTTGACTCCATTCTTGCAGCCACTGTGGATTTTGAGTGCTTTCCAACATAGGGAGCTCATCTTCTAGCATTATATCGGATAGTATTCTGTTGTGATCCATAGGGTTTTCATTGGCTGATCTTCAGAAGTAGATCACTAGGTCTTTCTTCTTGGTCTGTCTTCGTCTGGAAGCTCCACGGAAACCTATCCACCATGGATGACTGTGTTGGTATTTGAAATACTGGTAGCATAGCTTCCAACATCATAGCCAACACTCAAGCTACGACAGTACAACAAACTGACAGACTGGTGATGGTCCTGCTGTTGATCTTCTTTTAACTCAGAAATGGATTTCTCCTCTACATTTGGTCTTGTCTTGATTCTAAGACCGGGCCTTTTGCTGAGCAGGAAAAATATGAAGAACTCTTGGCAAATGGAAAAATAGTCTAGCCTCATTCAGCTTTCTTGTTCCCCTCTTCTGGCCTGGGTCCCACTAGATTTTTTTTTTCTTCTGGTAGCCACTAAAGAGCTGGGTTACCCTCTGTTATGGATTGAATTGTGTCTCCCAAAAATGTGTGTCAACTTGGCTAGCCCATGATTCCTAGTACTGTGTGATTCTCCACCATTTTGCCATCTGATGTGATTTTCCTATGTATTGTAAATCCTACCTCTATGATGTTAATGAGGCAGGATTAGAGGCAGTTATGTTAATGAGGCAGGACTCAATCTATAAGATTAGGTTGTGTCTTGAGTCAGTCTCTTTTAAGATATAGAAGGGAGACGTGAGCAGAGAGACAGGGGACCTCATTACCACCAAGCAAGAAGAGCCAGGAGCACATGCATCCTTTGGACCCGTGGTCCCTGTGCTAAGAAGCTCCTAGACCAGAGGTAGATTGATGACAGAGAGAGAAAAAACCTTTCCCCGGAGCTGGCACCCTGAATTTGGACTTTTAGCCCCCTAGACTGTGACAGATTAAATTTTTCTTTGTTAAAGCCATCCATTTGTGGTATTTCTGTTATAGCACCCATAGATAACTAAGACACCCTCCACTCACCTAAACTCCTCCAGAGGCTACAGACTCCTTCCACCTTCTACCACCATATCCTTCTGACAGCCAGGGCTGTCCCCATCCAATCAGCTCATGGACCTCCTTGATTTCTAGCCCCACTTTTATGAGTATGCCTCAGTTGTGACTTCCAGCTTTCCCAAATCTCACTCCTCCTGCCACCGACTAAAATTATGTTGTCGTTGTGTGCTGTTGCATCAATTCTGACTCATACTGACCTTATAGGACAGGGTAGAACTGCCCCACAGGGTTTCCAACGGCTGCAAATCTTTACAGAAGCAGACTGTCACATCTTTCTCCCATGGAGAGGCTGGTGGGTTCAAACCACCAACCTTTTGGTTAGTAGCTGAGCATTTAACCACTGTGCCACCAGGGCTCCACTGAAATTATAGCCGTTATTAAATAGGAAAACACATCACCAATCCTCACTCTATCTTTGTATCATCCCTTTTCCCTGTAATTCTTCCTTGACCCCACATCCTACTATCCTTCTGCTCTCCTGTCAGCCAAGACTCCCTGTATTTCATACTTGGAATACTCTCTTCCTCCATGCTCTGTTCCCTCTGAGTCCCATTCTCCACTAGATAAATTTTAATGTCTTACACCTTTGCTACCAATGGGTAAAGTTGTTAAATCAACTTTCACGTAGTAGGTGCTCATTTAATTGTTTAGTTATGTTATCTCTCTCCATATTTGCCTTTAACAATTCTTTTTTTATTGTGCTGAAGTCAGTGAAGGAGTTAGCATCACAAAAAAGTATTAATTTAAAACCAAAAAAGAAAAACCTGTTTTTCCTTCACAGTGAATCATGAATGGCTTTTATAATAAGGAGATTTGTAAGAGGTTCAAGAGAAATCTTAAACCAAGTTAAATAAACATGTTAAAGGGAAGCAACGGCCTACTTCATTTGCCCTGACTTCAAGCAGGAGGATACTTAAATCATTCAACAGACTTCTGGTAACTGCAATAGCAAAGCGGCATAGCTTCTTATATTCCAAAGGAAACTTTAAATTTGAAGTCTCAAATAACTCACTGATACTCTAAATATATGAGAATCCTTTCCAGAAATGTAGCCATGCCAACAGTGCTCACAGGTACAAAGTCTCCATTTAAAGCAGAAGAAAAGTGAAAATGGGAGGCAGAATATCTTGAATATCTAGTCCAAATTCTAGAGTCACTTTGCCCACAGTAAATCTGCAACCAAACGGTCAATCACAATCCTACAGTGAAGAATAAAAATTCAGACCCTCTTACAGAAGGATTTTATAATCCTCTGGAGGATGGTGGAGTAAAAATCAGCCCCGTTATAAAGACCAGGAGTCATAACAGACACCATGGCAATAATGCTTCCCGGGGCCCTGGAAGCGGGCTGCCTGGGCTTGAACCTCAGCTCTGTGTGACATCAGGTACTCAACCCCTCTGTGCCTCAGTAGTCTTCATTTGTAAAATGGGGTTAATAATAAAAGGATTAAAGGAAACAATTAAAGTGCTTGGAACAATATACCAAAAACCAAACCAGTTGCCGTCGAGTCTATTCTGACCCATGGCAACCCCCACGTGCTTAGAAAAAGAGCTGACTATTATTAATATAGGTCAGGTAAGTACATTTTGCTGGCCATGGTGCATGCAATGAACTTGTGCTGTGGGGAATCACAAGTCAATGCATACGTGGCTTTGGCCCTTCTAGATCTCTTTCAGGAAACGGAAGGCAGGGCCTATTGGTCTCTGAAGTGGTACTTCAGAGATTCAGGCTTGTGAAGGGATGGAAATGAGCAATGAGGTCTTCATGCCTCCTCTTGTTCAGCACCACGTAGGCCCATACAGGCGTAACAAAAAGAGTCTTCTATCAGTCCAATCAGCACACCGAGGTTCCACACTAAGGTCTGAGGCCCGAGACCCCACAGCCTTCTAATAAAGTATTCATTTGCCTTGCTTTATTCTCTCCACTCACATTTCCCATGGGTCAGATGTCAGGTGGAGTCTAGTATTTCTTAGCACCCTTTCCATCCGTATGCCGTTCCTATATCCTTAACATCATTAAACCTCACTAGTGCTAAATTTAATAGCAATCCAAGGAGGCTTCGTTGTAAGGAAAAGCTGGGGTTTTTGTTTTGTTTTTTTTTTTTTAAGTCTCTAATTTATAGGATGGGGCTTTATTTTCTTTTTTAGGAGTTCTGTGTTGAAGCAGGCATGGTGCTACTGTTAATAAAACCACATCTTAATGTTTCATTGGTGTTCAAGCTCTCTGTATAGTCCTCACACAAGCAAAGGGATTTCTCTGATTCCAGTGGGACTCTTTTCCTGTGCAGATGCTACAGGATTCTGTCTTTTACTGAGGTGTGAGTGAAGCCAGTTCTCCAAAATGAACAGAGACACTTAGAATTTTGCCATACACCTAAATGCCTCAGAACACACCTTCTCTACAAATAGATTGCAGTTAACATTTTCAAGGAATGCTTTTTCACCCTCATCACTAAAAATTTAATTCTTTTCTCAGTCCTCATGTCTACATTCTATCATTAATAATGCATATGTTGTCCTGTTTATATGTTTGCATTCTTTTATATTTTATGCGTGTATCACCTGTCTCCACCATTGACTATAAGCACTTCAAAGGCTAAATCTTGTTAACTCTCCACAGTAATAGTTGCTGCCTAATGTATTGATTCATTCACTCCACAAATATTTATTGAGCACCTACAAGGACCATACACTGTGAGGATAAAAAGCTGGACAAGGTAATCTACCCTTCCCTGAAAAGCCATCGGTTCTATTTCTGTATAGTAAACCATGACGAATAGAAAATTAAATGGCGTTGCGGTAGTTGCTGTTTTTCTTGTCCTAGAAACGTTTTGTTCTTGTATTGCATTCTCTGTTGTGCCAAAGCCAATCACTGCCATTAGTTTTCTTCTTTAAACTGAAATTTAAAAAAGAAAAAGAATTCAAGAATACAGAACTTTATCATTCAAAAGTAGCCATAATTTCACGTCAAACTCTAATGGAATCTCTTTTTCCTCTCTCCACAGAATAGTGGCCAAAGCCTCTAAGAACCTCATGTCCACACAAAGCTTAGGGATTGTGTTTGGACCTACCCTTCTTCGAGCCGAAAATGAGACGGGGAACATGGCAGTACACATGGTATACCAAAACCAGATAGCTGAGCTCATGCTGAGCGAGTACAATAAGATCTTCGGCTCAGAGGAAGACTGACAGACAAGACAAGTTACTGAATATGTTCACATCTGTCTTGATGTCTAATATTTTTACATTTCTGTAAACATACTTCTGAAATATTTTTTTCCTTTCAAGCGACAGATGCCTCATTTTGTGAAAACTTAATGATGATTGTGTGTTTAAGTTCCAAACATTTGAATAAAATAATTGACAATATTTACCTATATGTGTTCTACATTAACCCTTTCAGTGCTGTTACTTCTAGCACTTCTGGGCACATAGTATACAAGCCCTGTGCTATTAAATAATGTGCAAAGTACAGCAAACATCCAAAAGATCGCTTGAACGCTGCTCCCTGGCATTGTGTGTGTGCTTGTGTATGTGTCTGTAGATGTGTGAGTGGGTATCAGTGCCGTTGAGAGTGTGGGTATGTGTATACACTTGTGTGCCTTCTTATTCCTCATGCTGCCTCGCCATGTGTGCATACTCCTGTTTGCACGTGGGTGGAACCAAGAGAAGCTGGAAGGCAGAAGCTAATAATTTTAAAATAGAATAAAGGAGATCAGGTTCTCAACCAAAATAGACATATTTCATCTTATTAGAACATTTTTGTATATGTAAATATAGCTTAGCTATTCTCAGTGCTGTACAGTGGAAGCTATAAAAACAACATGTAAACAACATGTTGAATGACAATTTTTCCAAAGAAAAATGACAGTTCAAAACATTTGCCATTGGGTATGATTTTTAATACATACTATTTGCAGTCCCATAAACATACTATCTTATAAATTAGAAGCAAAATTAGTGCCCTGATATTTTGATCTTTATATTGTACAGGAGTTGTATGACTGCTCATTTTTAATGTGAACATCCATTTTGAATCTTCATCAAACTGCACATCTTCCTAGTCCCTGGCTAGGTCATTTTATGTAGAATTTTTATTATGCTTCTGAGGATGCTTTATTGGTGAATTATATTAAATCCATTTAGAAAGAACTTTTTTAAAAGGCTTTTTTTCATATGCCCTAAAGATTACTTGACTAGGCTTGAATTGGTTTATCCATTTGATGGTTAGTTTCAGTTGTCATGCATAAACAAAAGGGTAACTGTCTAGAATATATCAAACATTGTTTTATTTTGAAAAGTATGTTCTAGCTGAACACATCTCACACTGGGTTTTGTGAAAGTGTTCTGCTGATAAAAATGTAGACTTATGTTTGACAGCTTTTTTAATCAAATTGAAACGGAATAAATAAAACTAATCCAGTGCGATAAAGAGTAAGTCTAGTTATCGATTTGCTCATAAAATGAAAAATAAAGCATGTAAATAAAACGCGTAAAACATGGATCCAAGAGCAAACATTGAGAGCAATAATGAGCTCAGAGGCATAGGCTGTCTGGATAAATGGGATATACGGGGGAGGGTGAGGATCTGCTTAAGAGATAGCCAGAGTGTGCTCGAAGCTCCAGCATCCACAGAGATGCTTAAGGAAGGAGAGGGTTTCCTTGTCCCTCTTGAATGTCTTCATTTTGGCAGTGACGCCAGTAAATGGACTCATGGCCAAGAGCAGAGAAGCAATCACACTAAAGGCTGAAGTATGGTTAAATCGAGTGGGACATATACACATACCACAAAGCCAAGAACAGTCACCTGAGGTGGAACCCCATAATCTAAAGTCATCGATAATAGTGAGCTAACAAACCTGCTAGCTTGAAGCTCTTCATATAAGTAAAGTTGTACTGATGCCTTTGATGAAAACATGGAGACATAAAAGAAGAATTTCCCACATTCTATTTCAGGTCCTCCCCATACCCATGACATTCCATATTCCTCAGTATGTCTTCCCCAAGCCTTTAATTATTTCACTTTTGGAAGAGAGGAGGAGTAGATATAGCAGTTCTAGGATTAAAATCTCATCTTTTCACACATACCCATCTTGAAAGTCATTATGGGAGCCTCAGCCAGAGAAAAACAGCACTAAAAGCCAAAGAAAAGTGGCCTTACCTGCTCTGAGCAGGGACTCACAGTCCCTTATCTCTGCTGCTTTCCAGATTTGTAATCTTCAAAAGCACCGGCTTCTTGATTTTCAATCTGATGGGATTTGGCCTGATTCAAACCCCAGCTGTGTCCTGTCCCTGCCTGCTAAGGGCGTTTAATCAGAGACTGTGTTCCCTCTCTGGGGAAAGAGCATTCCAAGGTCCTGAGCCAAAGTGCCCATCACAGGGTCTGACTTGTACACACTAAAGACATAGAAAGGGTTAAGCCAAAAGGTCATTAGATTCCATAACATCTCAAAGACCTCAACAATGGTCAGAGCAACTGTTCCAAGTTTAAAAGCCACGCTTTTAAGCATACTAGGTCCACTCAATAAGAGGTTAGATTTTATGAAACTCGTCAATATGGAAAGCCAATGAGCATTTTTAATTACCTAGTTTGAACCAGACACAATCCTAGACACTAGTGACACAAATATACCAAAAAAAAAAAAAAAAAAAAAAAAACCATTGCTGTCAAGTCAATTCCGACTCATAGCAACTCTATAGGACAGAGTAGAACTGCCCCATGGCGTTTCCAAGGAGTGCCTGGTGGATTTGAACTGCCAAACTTTTGGTTAGCAGATGTAGCACTTAACCACTATGCCACCAGAGTTTCCAATACAAATATAAAGTAAGGCAAATATCCTTACCTTCTGTAGCCCTGGTGGCGCAGTGGTTAAATGATGCAGCTGCTAACCAAAAGGTTAGCAGTTCAAATCCACCAGCTGCTCCTTGGAAACACTATGGGGCAGCTCTACTGTGTGCTTTAGGGTCACGATGAGTCAGAATTGACTCGGGGACAGCAACGGGTCAGTAATTTCTCAGTCTCACGATTCTAGATAAGTTTCACAGTCCAGATAAATACCTAAGGATCAGTTACAATTCTATGCAAGATCAGGGACCTTATCCATCTTGGTCACTACATAGTCCCAGGGTCCAGCCCCTATACATAGAGATGCTCAAGAAGTTTTTGTTTTTCTGTGTTTTGTTTTTTTAAGAATGAATGAGCAGAAGCTATTACAGAGATATTAACGAAGTTCAGTGGTTAACATAGAATCAAAGAATGAATTATGCTTCAGGCAGTCAGCGGAGACTTCACTGGGGAGATGACTTTTTAAATTTAACCTCGAACCAATGAGTAAGATTTACCAGGTAAAGAAAATGCAGAAGACATACTAGGAAGCAGGAATGGCATGAACAGAGTTGTGAAAGGCTCAGCATCTCCAAGGAAAAGTGAGGAGCTTGGTGAATAGAGAGTAAAGTGAATGCCATGCAATTTTGAAAGATGGAGCTAGAAAAAGATGCTGGGGTCAGGCGTCAGCCATGATAAAATGTTCAGATTTTATCTTGTAGTCCAAAGAGATCCAAAGGAGGTTTTTAAATAAGGAAGTGATAAAATAAATTTGATTTCTTAGAAAGACAATCTCTAAATTCACTGGCAGACTGGGGAAACAAACTACTTTGAGAAGACTTATTTCTTCCTGTATGTGTTTGTGTGTGTGTGTGATTGTCAACATTGTCTGGGAATGCAATTACAATCTTGTACTCTTAAAGCCTTTTCTAATATTGTTATGAGCAAACATTTTAAGAAATTATAACATAGGCTACAGAATGGAAACACACGTCCAAAACAGTCTCCCTGGAGAAACAACCTGGTTGGTATGTTTTATTTCAGCATGGATTTACTCCCCCAGGACCTGGGAGGTTGCCCCCCTTTCTTATTCACAGAAAAGGCTTCTTGGAGATGGCACTTATTCCATCCTATATGTTGAGGATCTGACAATACTCCGTGTGGCCATATGACAGGATCATCATGCCACAGCTAGTAATTGAAAGCCATATGATGATTCTCTCTATCCAATTAGAAAACAAAGGATCCAATTAAGAAAAATTACAAAAGCTGTTAAAAGGAAACAATCACTTGCCAATGGTGCCATCTTTACAGTTTAACACAGTTAGAAATTGACCTGTACTTGTCTTTTCCACATTTATTTTTGTGAATTATAAGTTAATCACCCTGTCAATTCCTAATTAAAGGCCATGCAAAGATTTTCATCCAAAAGGACTGTCACTAAGAGTTCTGGGTCAAATTGCTCTGTTGTCAAAAATGAGAAATAAAACCAAAACAATATCAACTGTCTCCTGGGAAACTCAAATCTTAATACAAAAAGCAAAGTCTTCCTTCAAATATAATAATTACATTATATTTCTTCAATTAAAATGTTTCCTCTTCAGAAAATAGATGGATCTTTTTTTTTTTTTTTTTTTTTCCTTTTTCTTTAAACAAAGGATTACAAACACAAATGCTTACTGTGGTCTGACAGGTAATATAAATGAATAAAGAGGACCAGGTTTAAGGTACTGTGAAGCGGCGGCAGCTGGGGAAACTCCAATTCAGTGCCTATCCAAAAGGGTCGGCTTCTGCTCAGCTCAAGCCCATTGGCTTGTGTGGAAATGTGGGCACAATGTTGCCAGATCTTCAGCTCTTTCATGAAACGCCAGCAATTCAGAATCTTGTATGAAACCGCCTGATTTTTAAAGGCAGCAAATAAAACACATCTGAGTCAAAACTCAGCCAAAAGCCTTCTTTTTTGTGACCTCTGTGTTAAACCCTCAATGTTTCAGAGCCTGCTCCCCAGATAATCAGACTGCGTAAAGCAAACTGCGGAGATACACGAATGAGCAAGAGCAAGGTGAAAGGTGAGAAAACTGAGCAGACTAAGCACTTAGGAGGACTTACTGTTTAGATTCTGGGCAAATGGTTTAATCTATCTGGGTCTCAGTTTTTATAAATAGAATAATACAGTCAGCCCTCCATATCTGTGGGTTCTGCATCCTTGGATTCAACCATCCGCGGATGGAAAATATTGGAAAAAAGTTCCAAAAAGCAAACCTGAATTTGCCGTGCACCAGAGCACTATGCTGAATCCACGCAAATAAAGTGATGTGTAGGCATCCCCTGCTGTAGCCTCCCGCCATTTCACAGATCCTCGGTCTCTCTCCAGCGCTCGTTGTTTGAGCATTGTTCACCTTGAGTTTGTTCGCTACTTGCGTGCACCGTTTGTTTCTGTGAAAAATATGGCCCCTAAAAAGCAATGAAGTGGTCAAAGCAATCCCCCAAAGTCTATTTACATAGCATTTACATTGTATTATGTATTATAAGTAATCTAAAGATGATTTAAAATATACAGAAGGATGTGGTAGGTTATATGCAAATACTGCACCAGTTTATATAAGGGACCCTAGCATCCATGGATTTTTGTAACCGTTTCGGGGTCCTAGAACCAATCCAGAGGGACAACTGTACTTGCTTTATCTTGCCTCTCAGATTATAAAATCTAATAGGATCATGGAATCATGTGAAAGAAACTGTAACAGGTATTACACCCTAAAAGTATAAGTTATTCCTAAAGGATGTAGATAATGGGTCTCCTGTTCATTAACTGACAATAACTTTATGAGCTCCTGAATAAGATGAGAAGTAGGTTGGGATCAGACTCTAAAAAGCTTCAAATGACATACCAAGATGTTTCTTTGTAAGTCCATAGACCACTTTGAGATCCTGAAGATTTTTAGCGGGGAAGTGGCTTTATCAAAATTGTAAAGATTCTCCTGGCAACATTACGGAGTGGAGTTTGAAGCAAGGAAAAATTATAGCCACTAGTGCCATCCAGAAATTTATTGCCATAGTGGTGTTGATTTGGGTCTGAATTCAGACAACGGCAGCAGAAATGGAAATCAATATTATGGAGCATCATCCTACTGATCTCTCTATCTCTACCTCCTGGGTCGATGAGGTTCTCAGCATAGGGACCCCAGGTCCAAGAGGCACATTCTACTCCCAGCTCTTCTTGGTGGTACCAAGGTCCTCCCTGTCCACCTCTAGGATGGCTCATTTTAAGCTTAGTAGGATGACAAAACTGACCAACTCCCTCGTTAGGGTTCCATACACCTTATTTGCATGGTCCCACCCACACAAGGGTGCCATGCTCCTTATTTGCATAGTCCCACCCAATCAGTGTGCAGGAGTCACAAAGACTATGGCTAGAAGGCACACATTAAGTAATTCACTGTATCACACCTGATAATCAACTTCAAAAACTCAACCACTGAAAACCCTATGGAGCACAGTTCTACCCTGACACACATGGGGTCGCTGTGAGTAGGAGTTGACTCAACAGCAACTGGTTTTGTCCTCGAGCAATATTGTTTCTCTGGCCACTCAAAGGACCACCAAAAAAATTTAGTCCTGAAATGAGTCATAGAAATTTTGATTAGCTAACACTTAGTGTTCATTATGTGCCAGGAACTACACTATATATGTATTGTTTTGTTTAATCTTCACAAATCTATGGAGGGAGATATTATTATTATCTCTGATTATACTTGAGGAAATTGAGGGGCAAAATCATGACGTTAACCAAGTTCATGCAGTTAGTGAGTGTCAAGCAAATATTTGAATCTAAATAATAAGACTCAAGAAAGCCTTGCCTTAACCACTATACCATATGGTGACACAGGAAAAGTAACTAAAGAAATATAAGCACATAAATATTCCAAATATTTATACTCCATATGTGAGTACCTGATCACTCTCCTGTTAACATATGTGATGAAAGTTTTCACTTTGATACTAATTTCATGAAAGAAAAAAAAGGGATAATATACGATTTCCCCCAAAGAAATATAGAATACCTTTATTGTTGTGCGTGGATAGCTAAACTCATTCATGTTATTGCTATTATAATTTCAATATTCTGGTAGCATTTGTTTGCCCACATGCTTTACTGACACTGTACTGTTCATGTTAGTGGATTATGGAGAAGACAGATTGGAAGCCTCTTCGCCCACATCTTCAAAAATACCTGTCTGAATGGCTTCTACCCAATGTTACATCATATTATCCTGCATTGCATCATATTTGTCAGTGTCCTGTTATCATCCATCATATCACACTGCCTGATATTGTATGGAAATTAAATCTGGTCCTATACAAGATGAAAAAAAAAAATGGGTCCCCAGCAGTCTTCGTCTTAAATATAATTGAAAAACAGGCAGACATCAAGGCACGCTGAGTCGCATGCTGCCAGAGAGTGGTCCTGAATCATTCAAATCATGGGAATACAGTGAACATCTTGTACAAAAAGATGACAGTTTTCTTTAGTGATTTTGTCAAAATGAAAATGTCTAGCTGTCTTGGTGAGAGACCTGGCAGAAGGATACACACACACAGACACACACACACATACCTTATAGATTTAACCTGCTGATTTTTGCGGTCTTATGCTTGGAGTAAAGCATGCAGGGTCCATGAAATTCTTAAGCAATCAACTGGATTCTATAGAAAACACTCCTTATTCAATTAGGAGAGCACTAAGAGAAACAGTGAGGAAGAGCAGCAATACTATGTCCATAGCTGGTGCTC